TGGACTTTGGACTTCCCAGTCTCAGAAACTGTAAGCAATAAGTTTCATTTTCTTTATAAATTATCCAGTCTCAGGTATTCTGTTACAGCAACACAAAATGGACTAATACACTCTGTATTTGTTTTTTGGGGAAGGGAAAGTTTTCCTGGTGATGGATTATAAAGATTTCTCAGGTGGGCCCTTACGTGCGCCTGGCCAAAGAACATAACACATAGTGAATTAGCTGGTGATGTTAGCCCTGAATCAAGGGTTAATCTACAACCTTTCAGAGAGGTGAGTTGAGTCAACCATGTTGTTTATGCACAAGCCCATGTAAGCAAAGGGATCAGTCCCACTCAGAACAAAATGACAAGTGCCTCTCTCCAAATAGCATAACTCCCATAGGAACTGCAATGCCCACCAGGAGGACTTCTTCAAGCAGACATTAAACTCCCAGGCCACACTTGACACTCAGAAGGATCAGGGCAGGAAACCCAGTGTGCCAGCAGGCCACAGCAGCTACTCCTCTTCAGCAGAGTAGCCTTTATAGCAATCTACACAGCAGTCCAAGAGCCCCTAGGTAACGGCTTAGGTACAAGGGAATGGGAGCCACATGGAGCAGCCACAGAACAAGCCCAGGCCTAGAAGCTTCATTTTCCACAGGAATCAGTATCTCTAGTAACAGCTTGACAGATATAATTTTTAGGATGCCCAGTATGGTCATGCTCAGTTACAAAAGCCATCACTCTGAAGGAGACCCACAGGTGTTCATAGCTCTTCCATGGTTCCTCCCAGTCCAGATACATCCTACCACTGAGCAATGTTGCCTCATAACAGTCCACATTTCATCTTTTTCATGTTTCCTTGGTAATCTGTGTTACTAGAGAGTTAGGCCAAGACCAAATTTGTTCTCAGAGAGAAGGAGAAAAGGTTTGACCCCCCAGGACAGGGAAAGGGAAAGGGAGAGAAACCAAGACTCTTTAATTTGTTTTTCTTTCTTCAACTTAGATATCTCACTCTTCAATGGGATGCTGAAAAATGTGGAAAATGTAGCTGAAATTTTTGGTAAGTTAAACCTGAAATTGCTTTCATCTACCACGTGTCAGGGCATAGAGTGTACGGGAAGTCTAAGGAAGTTACTGGGCCTTGGTCTCTGCCCTCCGAGCTCCCAGCAGTGTGACCCAGCCAGCTCTCAATGATGTGACCCAGGTTCTGGTGAAAACAGTGATGCTTTTTATTGCAGGGTGAGTCACTGAATTACTATGTGCTTTCATATTCCTTACTTCATTGTCCTGACCACAAACTTGCCAGGAAGGGAATGGTATCCCCGTTTTACAGATAAGGGAAGTGAGCCTGATGCAGTTAAGTGACTTGCCAAGGCCACACAGCTGGAAGGGAGAAGTTCTCCTGTGAGTCCAGAGCTTCGTCCCCTACACCAAAGTATCCCTCCCCAACTAGTATATATGAGGGCACTTCAAAAAGTTCATGGGAAAATATAATTGAGAAATAATATGAATATTTCCATGAACTTTTTAAAGTACCCTCATATACATAAAGCTTAAGGATTTCAAAGGGTGTCAGGTATTCCATTAGTTACATATCTACTATGCAACTCTCAGGACACCATGAAGGTTCCTATCATCAATTACTAATAGTTCCCTCCAAATGAGACTATAATATGATTGACCTGAGCAAAGAGACTCAGAACTACTGTTGGGTTAGACAACGCTGGACATAATGTGGCATATAATATATGTATATATACATATATGACTCAGTGCAGGCACTCTGTGCATTTTTGAATGGAAATGCATATTTACACAAACACCCACACATACACAAACCTTAGGATGGCTTTTCCCATCAGCATAGAATTATTTCTTCATTTTTCTGATTAGGCCTTGTGGAAATAAATCATGGGAAAGGAAGTTCGAATGAGGTGGGAAGAAGCCAGAAGAACAGTCAGGGGTACAACTAGTCAACTACCCTTTGATCTCCCCAAGCTCCCTCCTGTGACCCT